CACTTTATATGGAGAGGCATGCCCAGCCTCACCTTCAAGTAAGCAGCAACAGCCAAACCAGCTGGACATAAAGTTGATATATAGCTGTTCTGTTTTTCTGACATCATACGGATGATGAATCCGGGCAGCTCTGAGTCTGTTGTTCTCAGTTCTGTGTAAAATACAGAGATTTAATATACTGCATATGCTACCTATTAAATGTGTTGATTACTCACAGTCCAATAAAGCTATCATACGCAGTGGTCTTATTGCATTGATTTACATATTTTTTTCCTCAAGACCAATTGATCATTTAAAGAGTAGGTACAGTTTCAGTCAGCCAGAGTTTACATTGGTTTAACTTTGGCCTTTATGTTGATGTAAATGTAATTAAAGCTGCCATTGAAGCAGGCTGGCTTCGTGTTTTGCAGGACTGTGTGCACACAGAGTTTCTGGTTGTATATGAAACACAAAGGTGTGGTCAGTGCAACTGTTTGTTTTGGTCTCAGATGTTCCTCCAGTGGGACATTCAGGGTCATATGCAACACTTTTAACAGATTTGCTACAAATTTTAATCTGTGAGTGCATCTTAGTGAGTGACCACTTCAGTACCAGGACCTTTGAGGCTGATGTCCCCTCATCACTAATGACCATTCACTCTCACCTGGTGATTTTCCCCCATACACACTCTTCTGCATAATCTTGAACAGCAAAGTATTGTTTTTATAATTATTTTTTTTCAATGCAGTTATAGCTTATAAGAAAACACCATCAGTTGTATAAGGTCCGTTTAGCAGGCACATGATATTGAAAAGTGCTTCTCTCAGCTCTTTAAGTACTCCCCCTAAAAGATGGTGGCATGTTTATTCTTAAGACTCTTGTTTTGTTTATGTCAAAGCAGTCAGTGACTAATGGTATCCTGACGAACGCTTTTTGAGGGCATATCTTTATTTTTCACAGCATCCTAGCTAAGTGACTGTTGTTGTTTTGTTTTTGTTAATACTGGCAAAGACACTTGTTCCTTCCGGTCTTTGGTGGTCCAGCTTTGTTGTGCTGTCTCCGCTCGGATTTTATGAGATAATTAAAACAGCGCTCAGATTACACATGGAATTTCCCATACATGTACTCAAACTTATCAGTTGTTTTCAGAAGGACATTTGTGTCAACACGTGATTGATTAAGTCAACAATATTAAAAGTCTTCCTGTTTAAGCTTACCATGTGATGAAGGGAAGGAAAATTAAGAAAACGGCTCATGGTGAGAAACTCAGATTAGCAAAAATGTTTTTCTAGTACTGACACAAAACAATACAAACTTCCTCTTACAGTAACAGTCTCTTGTCTATAAATAAAGTTTATAAAGTTTAAGCCCTATTAGTCCAATAATGTAAACCAGGTAGGTCTCAGAGGGCCACATGGCAGACTAACGAGACTTGATGGCCCCGATACTGGACATCACATCTTTCTGCAGCTTCTAGCTCTGAGTTGTATATTTGCTGTCCCACAGCTATTACACTCAGTAATTATATACACACTGGTCTCCAGAGTGGCCAACCGATGTCTAAATTACAGTCGGTGGAAAAACCACGGCAAAGTAAAAAAAAAAAATGTCTCGAAAGAAACTTGACATACCAACTTTAAAAAGTAGTACAAGAATCCAAAACATCTTGCTGGAAAACAAAGTCCTCTTCTTTATTATTGAGTATTTATTTAAGGTTTTGAGAGCTGACAGAGTATCAGATGTTTGGTCTGTCTGCATTTATTTCCAGGCTTCCTTTTCAAGCAACACAGTAAGCATTTTAGGGGAGTATTTGCAGGATTATTTTGGAAACTTTCTTTCAAATAGAGTGAGGCACATGCTAAAGAGCTACTAATGGTCTATCCCAGGCTTTAGACGGGGTTGCTAGATTGTATTTAAAAGCTTTAAAAAGCTCTATATTGACAAGCAGGCAGAGTTGAACTGAGGTGTTGAGCCCGGAGCGTTTTACTTCCAGTGTGTAGCCTTAATATTACACCACGGCCACAGCTGCTGTGTCGCCGCTGATCTGTCCCCAAGAAACATGATGCTGTTTATAATCTGACCATCATTTGGACGCCGACAGCCTGCGACGCCAGACCCATGATTTACCCCT